CACATTAGAATTAGGATGTGTTAAGTATCCGCGAGGATCAGAAATATCCACTTATTGGGATGACAATAAATATTCCCTTATAGCGTTTCTATCTGAAGTTAGTTTCCATATTTTGTTATAATTATTGTATTAATTAAAAGTTAGTTTTCTATTCATTTCGCATTTTGATCTTAGTTCATAAAGAAACATTTGTTATATGAAAAGCCATAGTTGATGTACTTACACGTCATGAGAACTAAAATATCTTGGTGTCAATGTCTCAAAATACATGTAATGCTTTATTAATATTTAAATAATGGTTTTCTGTGTAATTAAGTGGAGGGACAGCTTGTTGGTCAGGGCGATTGGCTTTCAGCCACTAAGTCCAAAATTTAAATCCCGCTCCACCTACTTCGGTTAGATCAACCAGGTATTGTATCTAGCCTTCACACCTAGAGTGGGGCTCATACCCAGTCGTCCCGCAAATGAATCAGCTTGTATCTTAGAATTAAATTGTAACTGTAGAATTGAATTGATTGAAGTTAGACATTAACACCGTTGGATGCCGGCTCAGTGGTCTAATGGTTGAGTGCTCGAGCGCGAAACCAGTAGGCCCTGGGTTCGAATCCCGTGGAGTGCGGGACCGTGGATGCGCACTGCTGAGGAGTCCCATACCAGGACGAAACGGCCGTCCAGTGCGTCCAGATTTTCTATAGTGGTCTAGATTCAATTGACTCATGATTTCAACCAGTGAAACTGTAGAATAGCTTGGTTCTTGCTTAACCAGTATTTGATCTTAGGATATATATGAATAAACATGACATATTCTCATAAAGAGTTACTGGTGGGAAGAAAAGTTGTGAGGATGCTTACTGATTACCGATGAAGAAATCTTGATGGAAATATAGACAATGATTTTCAAGCACATACTAAGTAAAGGCAAAAAATAAGAAAAACGTTTGCCAGATAATCCCAGTTCATTAATTTACCTTACATAACTTCTTAAATCTGTCGAAGTAAAAATTAGTCTTCTGTAAAAATTGAATTTAGGTTCATCGAGCTTTACGTGGTTTCGTATTTGATGGATCCACGAAACTTCCTGTCGGGAGAGCTTCTATACATGTGGAGGGATTAAGTCATTTAGTTAATTCCACCCCATACTATGGTGATTATTGGCGTTTGCTCCCACCTACTGGTGGTGTATATCGTGTGTGGGCTTCAAAAATTGGGTAAGTGGTTTTGCTTCTCACGTGGTCTGACTACATGATAGTCACTTTTACTCATTATCTAGAAAGTGTCAGTTGCACCAGTCTTTCGTTCACGCCAGACCTAAAATCCTGTGGATTAAGAGTTAAGCACCTGGACCGCCTTGTCACCGCTAAAATTGATTTTGTAATATCTTAGATATAAGGTTCCATGCAATTGCTTAGCGTATGACCAATACATATTTCAAATCGAAAATTATCAAATTGTTCGGTAGTCTCGGGAACAATCAGTTAACCGTCATTAAAATGAATAAAGTTATCAGAGTAACTTCATAAAGTAAACATTAATAACAGGATGACAATAGGTTGGGATGAGTTCATAGAAGTGAGACAGTGAAATTTCTTATTTGAAAAGCGAAATTAAGAATGAATAACTAGATCTAACTGTATAAAGTTTTGTGCCATCTCACTGATTTCTAGTCATTTTTATCATTCCAATTATTTCAACCAAAAAGTTAAATTCTCAACCTAGCTGAATCTTATAATAAGCAATTTTTCAAATTCGTTTCTTACCTTCTTCCTGTCTATTGAGAATTTTACCAACTCTACGTCAAATCAGTCAACAATTGCACATGAAACATGTGTAGGTTGGGGATTCCCGATAGTATTAATCAATGCAAAACCACAGCGGAATCAATTGGTGTCTGTGTTCTATGACTGTAATCCTGTCTTAGTACAATCTTTGATTAGTTTTAATTTAGTTAAGTGTATCCTTCTAAGATATTAACGACTGAATATATATAGGTTAATGATATTTTTTGTCTTTATTGATCAAGTTTAATCATCTGTTGATGGATTTGAATGGACTACTGGAGTATGCCTTAAACTAAATAAGTTATTAAGTATTGCATCACTACACTTGTATACCCCGACCGTAGCTGCTACCTTGACGCGGTGGTCGGGCTTGCCTATCATCATGACCCAACCGAGCTATATTGGCTGGAACATATGTTCCTGTAGGTTTTACCATGCCAGGCAGGTCGACTGAAGAACGGTAAGACTAAAAGCAACAACTAAAGGTCTGAGGGTGAAATCGTACTGCTGACTGTAGAGGGTTGTGACAACAGTAAGGTGTTTCCCTCGGACAATCAGCATCTGCAGCGATGCTGCCTCTCACAAGGAAGGAAGGGGTTAAAAAAGGTTGACCCTAAAAATGCCACACCTCACCTTACCTCACGGGTTTCCGTCTCCGGCGATAAGGCCCTTTGAAGAACGGAGCTAACACATTAAAAACCTCCCACGAAAAGGCCGTGTGCGACAGGCCTCAAGCAGTTGTCCCTTGGGCTCTGCGGTCACTATCCAAAGTCGTTAAGGCCATCATTAATCCGACTTCCTTTTTAGGCTTCTCAAGCAATACCCTTCCACGGTGTGGGCAGTTGGGAAGTGACATCAGCCCTTATACCCGTAACAGCACACGAGACCAGGTTGGTCACATTCAAATCTTTCTTACGCCTCTTAATACCTCTCTTATCTCCACGACTAACCCTTCTCACGTCCCTTTATCACCTCGCAACGCTAGGGCAAACGATTCGAGTACGCGGAACGTTATTCCCGGTCTCCTGAAACCACGCTCTAAACTACATGTAGGAGCTTTTAACGTCCGAACACTGTGCCAAATAGGAAAACAGGCTTTCTTAGCTAGGACTTTAGAATCTCGCGCCATCGATGTGTGCTGCGTCTCCGAAACGCGCATACAGGATCCGAGTAGTGTCATTCATTTGACCTCACCATGCAAAAATAAAGAACCGACTCGATTCAAGCTTCATGTATCTGGAAGCTTTGACGCTGCTTCTCGTGGTCTGGCCGGCGTAGATATAGCATTGAGTCCTAGGGCAGAACTAGCTCTCTTAGACTGAATCAAAGTAAACGGTCGTGTGTGCGCTGACCGACTGAACGGAACAGTAAGAATCCGGAAAGATGGGGACACTCGTCGTTGCCTCTTCGTCGTCTCTGCCTATTCTCCCACTGACTGCAGCTCAGATGATGTAAAAGATGAGTTTTACAGAAAGCTTTCCGACCTTCTCCGAAAAGCTAGGCGCTCTGATGTAGTAATAGTGGCTGGTGACTTTAATGATCAAGTAGGTAAACCAAGCGATGGGGAAAGACACCTAGGTGGATCTTATGGTGTCGTTGGTCAAAGAACAGATAATGGCGACCGTCTGTTGCAGCTATACTCAGATAACCGCCTGTTCCTTGCAAATACTAACTTTAAGCATAAGGAAAAACATCTTTTGACATGGCTACCCCATAATTCGTCCCAACGTTGGACCCAAATAGATCACATCGCTATCAGCCACCGATGGAGGGGCTCGATAGAAGACTGTCGCTCATTCTGGAGCACATGCTTAGATTCAGATCATGCTCTAGTACGAGCGCGTATTTGTCTGCGTCTTACTGGACGTAGGAAAGATGCTGCCAGGAAACCTCTTAGGGGCCTACTTAATTATAGTCAAGCTAAGAGTATATTTCAGGAACAACTAGAAAAACAGTTAGGCAGCCGTGTATGTGATGCCCACCCCGAGGCAGCATGGAATGATATACGAAAGGCTGTGGAAACAGCAGTGATATCTGCTAGTATGGTAAACCACAAGGTTAGGGAGCAACACTGGATCTCAGCAGCATCTATCGCACTGATAGATGCTCGGAAACTCATTCCACCTGGCTCTGAACATAATGAAGAGCGGAGTCAGCTTAAGCACAAGCTGAAAAGAAGCCTACTCAATGATCGCGAACAGTGGTGGGTAGCGAAAGCAAGAGAGATGGAAAAGGCAGCGGCAATAGGTATTAGCAGACAATTGTTCAGACTTGTTAAGGAAACCGACTGTTAGCGAAACACTCTCAGAGAAAGATGGACATATTATACGTTCTCAATCCAGGAGATTGGATCGATGGGCAGAACACTTTAGGGATCAGTTCAACTGGCCTTCAGCCACACTTCGGTTTCCCACGATCTCTAGTCAACCTGAATGGCAAGTTAATGTAGGTCCTCCGTCCCTTTACGAAGTTGAAAAAGCCATAGGAAATCTGAAACGAGGGGGAGCAGCAGGCCCTGACAGGTTTACTCCTGAGATTTTTAAGGATGGTGGTTCAGTATTAGCAGTGAGATTAACTGAGGTCTTAGGTAGAATTTGGGAACTGGACGTAATCCCATCTGACTGGTCTCAATCACTGATTGTGCCAATCTATAAGAAAGGACAAAGGTCCTCTTGTGACAATCACAGAGGAATTAGCTTGACTAATATAGTGTCTAAAAATATTAGCCTCAATAATACTTCGACGCCTAATCAAAGCTCATGAAGAACAGACTAGAGAAAACCAGGCTGGTTTTCGACCTGGACGTGGTTGTATAGACCAGATATTCACACTACGTCAGGTCCTAGAACATAGACACACATTCAGACGCCCCACAATCGTAGTATTTCTCGACCTTAAGGCGGCATTCGACTCTGTTGATCGTGAGGTTCTATGGCAGTATTTGTCACTGAAAGGAGTACCAAGGAAGCATATTAACCTTGTTAAGGCTCTTTACTCGAACACAACTGGTAGAGTGAGAGCTTATGGCGAATTGTCATCAAAATTGATTACCTCAAGTGGTGTTCGTCAGGGCTGTCCACTCTCTCCATTCTTGTTTAATTTTGTCGTTGACATGCTTTTAGAGATAACACTCCTCATGTAAATTCCCAGGGGTTGAACTTCTACCGGGAGGTTCACTTTTTGACCTAGAATATGCCGTTGACATAGTTCTATTTAGTGAAGCTTACTTACTTACTTACTTACGCCTGTTACTCCTCGTGAAGGAGCATAGGCCGCTCACCAGCGTTCTCCATCCAACCCTGTCCTGGGCAATCCTTTCTAGCTCCGTCCAGTTGTAATTCATCGTTTTCATATCTGCTTCTATTATCCGACGCAATGTGTTCTTCGGCCTTCCTCTTTTTCGCTTCCCTTCAGGATTCCAAGTTAGGGCTTGCCTCGTGATGCAGTTTGACGATTTGCGTAATGTATGTCCTATCCATTTCCATCGTCTTTTCCTAATTTCTTCTTCAGCTGGAAGTTGGTTTGTTCTCTCCCACAGAAGGCTGTTGCTGATGGTATCCGGCCAATGAATGTTGAGTATCTTGCGAAGACAGCTATTTATAAATACTTGTACTTTCTTGATTGTGGTTGTTGTAGTTCTCCAAGTTTCAGCTCCATACAGTAGAACTGCCTTGACGTTCGTATTGAAGATTCTCACTTTGATATTGGTTGAAAGTTGTTTTGAGTTCCATATGTTCTTCAATTGTAGGAATGCGACCCTTGCTTTCCCGATCCTCGCCTTTACGTCTGCATCTGAGCCTCCTTGTTCATCGATGATGCTTCCCAGATATGTGAAGGATTCTACATCTTCCAGAGTTTCGCCATCAAGAGTGATTGGATTGCTGTTTTCCGCTTTGAATTTGAGGACCTTCGTTTTCCCTTTGTGTATACTGAGGCCTACTGATGCAGAGACTGCTGCTACACTGGCTGTCTTCATCTGCATCTGTTCGTGTGTACGTGATAGGAGGGCTAGGTCATCTGCGAAGTCCAAATCGTCTAATTGATTCTGAGCTGTCCATTGTATTCCGTGTTTTCCTTCAGATGTTGAGGTCTTCATAATCCAGTCGACCACCAGAAGAAAGAGGAAGGGAGAGAGTAAACAGCCTTGTCTGACTCCGGTCCTTACTTGGAATGCATCTGTCAGCTGTCCTCCATGCACTACTTTGCACTGTAGTCCGTCGTATGAGTTCCGGATAATATTGACAATCTTCTCAGGAATTCCGTAGTGTCGAAGAAGTTTCCATAACGTCCTCCTGTCTACACTGTCGAATGCCTTTTCATAATCAATGAAGTTGATGTATAGTGATGAGTTCCACTCAACTGATTGTTCGACGATGATCCGTAGTGTTGCAATTTGGTCTGTGCACGACCGATCCTTACGGAATCCAGCTTGTTGATCTCGAAGTTGGGCGTCTACTGCATCCTTCATCCGGTTCAGCAACACTCTGTTGAAGACTTTCCCTGGTATTGACAGTAGTGTTATGCCTCTGTAGTTTTCACATTTGCTCAGATCTCCTTTCTTTGGAATCTTGACGAGGTGTCCTTCTTTCCAGTCCATTGGCACTTGTTCCTCCTCCCAAATCTTTTTGAATAGAAGATAAAGCATGCTTGTGGTTGTTTCGATGTCTGATTTCAGTGCTTCAGCTGGTATGTTGTCGGGTCCTGCTGCTTTCCCGTTCTTGATTTGTCTGACGGCCATTCTAATTTCTTCCGTAGTTGGTGGATTGACATCTATAGGAAGATCTATGTGTGCTGCTTCGATGTCCGGTGGATTCATTGGAGCCGGCCTATTCAGGAGTTCCTCGAAGTATTCTACCCATCTGTTACGTTGTTGTTGAATTTCGGTGATTGGCTTGCCTTCTTTGTCTTTGACCGGCCTCTCTGGTTTACTGTATTTCCCTGATAGTTTCTTCGTTGTATCGTAAAGCTGTTTCATATTTCCTTCTCTAGCAGCTTTTTCTGCCGTCGTTGCTAGTTCTTCCACGTATTTCTTCTTGTCGGCTCTAATGCTCCTCTTCACTTGTTTGTTTGCTTCTATGTATTCAGCTTGTGCTTGGACTTTCTCTGCTAGTGTTCGGCTGTTGTTTATTGCTGCCTTCTTGTTCTTCCTTTCTTTGATCTTGTCCACTGTTTCTGTAGAGATCCATTCCTTATGATGGTATTTCCTTAGACCGAGAACCTCTTGACACGTTGAAGTTAATGCTTCCTTGATGCCTTTCCAGTTGTCCTCCATAGTAGTTTCTTCTTCTTTCAGTAGATCTCGTAAGGCTTGGAACCTGTTGTTGAGAGCTATCTTGAATTCATTGAGTTTGACAGTATCTCGAAGGAAGGCTGTATTGAACCTTTGTATTGCTGTTTGTCCACCTGTCCAGTTCTTTTTTAGCTTCAGTTTTAAATTGGCTACAACTAGGTGGTGATCTGAAGCTACGTCAGCTCCTCTCCTGGTTCTCACATCTTCAATTGTCCTTCGGAATTTTTTGTTGATGCAAATATGATCTATTTGGTTCTCTGTAGTGTGGTCCGGTGAGATCCATGTAGCCTTGTGTATACGCTTGTGTGGAAATATTGTGCCTCCTATGACCAATTTGTTGAATGCACATAGATTTGCAAATCTTTCTCCATTTTCGTTTCTTTCTCCCAGTCCATGTCGTCCCATAATATCTTCATATCCAGTGTTGTCTATTCCGACTTTGGCATTTAGATCTCCCATTAGAATGGTGAGGTCCTTTCTTGGGCATTTCTCTATCACTGACTGCAGCCGCTCGTAGAATTGATCTTTAATGTCGTCGTTGCTATCATTAGTGGGTGCATAACATTGGATAATATTCATTAAGATCCCCTCCTTCTTTGTTTTGAATGATGCTTTGATGATTCTGGATCCGTGAGATTCCCATCCTACAAGTGCATTTCGTGCTACTTTGGACAGCATAAGAGCGACTCCCTGAGTGTGTGGAGCATTGTCCTCTTCGTGACCGGAGTATGGCAGCATCTCTCCCGTAGCTAGCCTTTTCTGTCCAGCTTGGGTCCAGTGGGTTTCGCTGATTCCCAGTACTGCTAAGTTGTATCTCCTCATTTCCATTGATATTTGACTGGTCTTCCCGGTTTCCCACATTGTTCGAACGTTCCATGTACCTATAAAAATTTTTGCTCTGGTTGTTAGAAGGGGCATCGGCCTCGTGGCTTCCGAAGGAACTCGGCTTTCACCATGAAGCGTCATAATTCTTCTAAATGAAGACCTTCTAACTCCCAGGGCAGAGTTAAAATGGTTTGGATTATTTTTTCTGGTAAGCGTTTTTTTAGCGAGTTAGTTTTCTACGGGATGGGGACACTAACCCCATGCCCAACCCTCCTCCTTTACCCGTGCTTGGGACCGGCAGCAACCCTATAAGAGCTACAGGCGGAGTTATTTAGTGAAGACGCTGACAAAATGCAGAGTCTTCTGACCACTCTAAGCAACAATGCAAGCATGTTCGGGATGCGATTCTCTCCCTCGAAATGCAAAATGTTGCTTCAAGATTGGGCTGCATCGACACCCGAACTAATGATAGGGAGTGAAGTAGTTGAGTGTGTCTATCGCCTCACTTATCTCGGGAGTCTCATCAGCCCTTGTGGTCTGGTGTGTGACGAAATCTCAGCACGGATGCAGAAGGCTCGACTAGCTTTTGCCAACTTGCGTCATTTATGGCGTAGGCGAGATATCCGTCTACCAACCAAAGGGCGTGTTTACTGCGTAGTAGTTCGTTCCGTCCTACTTTATGGCAGTGAAACATGGCCGTTACGAGTAAAGGATATTCGTATGCTACTAGTATTCGATCATACGTGTCTTCTAAGCATTGCTTGTATATCCTGGGACCACCGAGTAAGTAATGCAGTTGCTAGGAAACGTGTACTAGGTAAGGATGACAAATCAATTGATGAAGTAGTAAAACTTCATCAGTTGAGATGGCTGGGACACGTGTTACGTATGCTAAACCACTGACTGCCCCGACGTGCGATGTTCAGTGGTATAGGAGTAGGTTGGAAGAAAGCTAGGGGCGGCCAGACCAAAACATGTCACAAATTCATGAAGTTACTGACAAAGTGAATTGAGTCATGTTGGTAGGTGTAGACTACCTGGTTGGGATCCGCGAAGTGATAAAAACAGATGGTTAGAGACCTTTAATGACATGGCTCAAAACTGTTTGCAATGGCGCAGGTGCATCCACTCTCTGTGTTCTCCCAAATTCTAATCTTCTGAATTTTTCATGTCCCTTTTTTCCTCTTTCCAAATTTAGTTCACTGGATTATGCTGCTTGAATAACATCTTCAAACCCTAATGTTTCCGATTACTGCTTATACTCTTACCACCTCTACCACTACGGGATTTGAATCGACAAGTGCATCTCTGTGCTAATGTGTTGTGGCAACTCGAACTGATGTACGTACGTACAAAGTTCTACGTTGTTACTGACTGATTGACTGACACTTGTATACTGACTGTTTATGTACGGAAATTTCGCTGGGAAGGGGAACTCATTGAGAGTAATAAAACTGTGCTGCTGAAGTTTTTGATATCAATCGCTTTATTTAGGACTCATTAAGTGAATATATCTGTATCCTATATCCTGGTGATTTTCACGCGGATACTCAAAATCGATAGCCGTTGCTTTAAACTGTAATGCCTTTGTCCACCAGGTAACTGAGTTTAAATAGGCACTAGCTAGTTCACTGAGTACGAGTTTTATTCCGTAAGGTTTATATTAACCCACTGTTACGTAGGACTGAAATTCGACTAATGAATTAATTAAAATTTAACAAATAAGTAATATCGAAGAGTCCACTTAATATCCCCACTTGCCAACGAAGACTGACCGAATTTCTGTTCTGAATATCAACAACCTCATAGCATAAACCTTTACTGATAAACATAGTAACTGTTGTCTTGTTGAAATCTTGATTTTGCATATTGTGAAGCAATATTAAATTCAATGTTGAATCAGTAGTATCAGTCGATAGACAGTTATGAATCCACATTTCAACTTGATTTAAATTTTTTTTCCGTTATGATAATACCCAACAATATTTGTCTGTTGGTGGTCCTACCGCTCTTAATTTTTCAACATTGTTTACCTAATTCACATTCGTTGAGAAATTTATGCATATTAATTCATTGTTTAGCTAACATAGTAAATTAAAGCACTAGAGTTAGTCAATCAGTCAGTAGTCGAGATAGGACCTGACACGCATACGCATCGGTCCAGGTTACGACACTATACATCAGCACAGCGAAAGGTAATCAACGAAATATGAAGCATAGGATAGAAAGCGATATAATAATCAGTTTTAATATGCAAAGTACGGTTTGGCAAGAACGAATCTTATCGGGGGAATGGAAGGTTACATTTGATAATTATTTTCAAATTTACAGAGTGATAAAAAATCAATGCAACACCGCTACTGTGACCAATTCGACGCTATGCCATCCAACTCAAATGCTGTAATTGGATTTTTTTCTCATTTTTTTCAAGATGCGGATGCAGAGTTTGTGTAGTTATGATCTGGTATAGTTGCAGTTTATAAGTTCTAGATTGATGTCGTGTAGCTGCAAATCAGTAGTCTGTAGACTTGCATTTCCCAAGTTGATTTTAAGTTCAAGAGCTCACTTGTCCCAAACTAATTAGATCAACCAGGTTGTATCTGTGACCACCACTAGTGTATTTAAAAGCCAAAAAGAAATGACACTTTCATAGTGTACTTAAGAATAAGATTGTAATATGCATATTCTTATTATGGATCCTTTTGTTTTCTTGCAGATATTTTGATTCACTCAAATATGAAGTGAATGCATCCCTTCTACCTTATGTGTCAATTACAAATAGTGAACAGTTAAATTTCACTTTATGGCCTGATAATCAATTAACAGCGGAATGGTCAAGTCAATTAGATTACAATATCACATTGAATCGTCTACCTTCATTCATACATGAATCAACTTATGATGAAACAATAAAAAATATGTTTACTAATTTATCACATTCCATTAAGAAATACTTTACATTACATCAAATTACTGTTTCTTCAACAAACACGGTCGTTTCTAATTTTACTACTAACAATACTAATAATCATGATCATAATAGTGAAAAATTGTCAACAGTATACGGAATTGGTTTGTCACTTCCTCATTATTCACATATTATTCCCATCAATGATCAAAATGACATTTACAATAATGTGAAATTACAGCCTCAATTCGATAAAATACGTATTATAATTTTAGCCGGTTTAAATAGTAAAGAAATAATTTCTACAGAAATCGCTATTCGTTTACTACGTCATTTGCATTCGGGTAAGTTTTTTTGTCTTTTAATAGTAATAACAGTTAATAATAAATACATTTTTGTTACATCCTAATGAGTAGAAAAATTGTATCTCTGACGTTTCGTGACTTGATGTAAGCTACTTCTTCAGAGTAAATAAATAACCGAAATTAAATTAACATAAGTTTATATAATACAAAGGAAATAATTATTATTATGTCAATCTAATTTGTTATAAGTGATTAAACTGCCGAAGATACTAAGTAGTATTATAAAACTGCTATAATTCAGATGCAACTAACAACTTATGATTTATCTAAACTAAGATATAAGGAAAGTTTTATAATTGTGGTTTGGACTGAAATATAAATTTTTCTAAGTGAAAATATTACCGGTGTTGGATTTATTTATGTAAAATTGTATTGCGACTGGTTCTGCTGTCGTTACGTTTTTACAGTTAGACAATATACATAATTAAAAATGCCTATAAATCTGTAAGTTATAATAACTTTTTGAGCTACATATTCTTTCATTCATCTGCTACAACTTGATTGGTGTGTTAATTATTACTGGTTTATTGGTCGTACTTGGTGTTTGATTGAAGTAAATTAGATTTGGGTTTTACACTTACAAACAAGTAACTTCGAACTTAGTTCATTGAGTTTTAGAGTTGTTTTTTTCTCAACATATCAAGATTGTCTGTTTAAAGATATGGAAAGTAAAAAGTACATTGGGTCGAAAAATTTCTATCCAGATCAAAAAACGCTCGTTTGGTTTTTACCAACTTCCAATATTTTTCGCGTAGGTGAAATATTCGTAAGTTTATTAAAGACCAAGTATATTGGGGAACCAGTTATGGTGAACTGTGAAACACTGATTTTGCAAAGTGGATCTATCCGAAGTACAACATCGG